CGTTATTACGTCGCTCGATTATCTAAAGGTAAACGCAAATGCCCTATATCGTTATTTACACACGATGAGATGAGACAGGCATCTTTCGGAAAATCTCGTTATCAGAGCGGCCCCCGCCCGCCATACTCAAATCGTACGTCGCGTATCTAATTCATTGTTTTTGAGTTTCGTCGAATTATCATCGATTGTTGCTATGCTTCGCATTTCTAAACTCTGACGTAGCTTCGGGAGAAATCTCAACGATTTCAATTGAGTGCAGATTCGCCACCACAATTAATCGGGAAATCTCAGAGAACTCTCTGTCGACGAGGTCCGATTGGACTTTGCCTCGTTGTTTCTTTGTTTCCTCTTTTATCGCGGTTAGAAGCCCGATTGTGTTTGCTATGTTAGAAAAATTCAACTCGAACTGCTTTATCTTATATGTAATTATCGATCGCGTGCAATTGCGATACATTATCGTTATGCGTATCAATCTGGAATATTAGTCCGCGATAATCTCAGCTATCCCCGATATCCGATATCGGGCCGTGTATCTCGCTCGAAACTTGTAGCCGGTTTCATCATTATCATATCTGGTTCTATGTTATAATTTGCAACCGGGCCAAAATAATCAGGAGATAGCAATTTCCCTGTCGGCGCTGTTTACTTTCGGTTTGCGGCCGCGAGGAGCTCGCGATGTCGTCGGATTTATCGGACTGTCGCTGTTCCGAGCCGAGATTTTGGCGAATTTCTGTTAAACCTTTAATTCTCTGCAACAGTTCGAGCTAAGGTAGCAGAGTAAGTTCAATTCTAATAATGTAATGTACTTCCGCGAAGAGGGAAATATCGTTCTTCTGCTAAGAAAAGCGGTTACTTTCTTTCTCTCAACACGTTCCGCGCGTTACGTGTACCGTTTTTGGTGCACGCTGAACTCGATTTTCGCGCCAACTGACACTGTTTCTGTCATTAAGAGATAAAGTGCGGTAAAATCATTTATCTCGTACACTCGTAATCTGTTATCATGTTTGAGGAATACTTAAAACCAGATTCGGACAGATTTCGGTGTATACGATATAATAATGAGCTTTCAGTTCTTATGATTCGATTCGGCGGCACTGTCATTAGTGTTCAATTGTTGTGCTATACAAAATGTTGGAAATTTCCGTACAGAAAATACCAGAGCCAAATGGTTCATAAGATTTTGTAAAGATTGCCCCAACAAACTTATATACAGATTGTTTCAACAAAAATCGTACCAGTCGATTATAAAGGTGAAATATTCCAAAAAGTTATATTCTATCTGTTTCACGAAAGCTATAGCTTCTTTAATATGTTCTACTTTATGTCTACAACATTTTGTACCTGCGGAATTAAAGGTTCAAGAGAGAAGAATTAGTAAGTGCCGGTATCGTCGAAATAGGTTCTTATTAACCTAAGGATCATCTAAGCAGGCGCCGATTTATCGTTAAAAGCTTCGTGGCAGCATTAAACGTTAAAATTTCGACTCGGGACGATCAGACGGCGCGTTTGAGCATGTCGTCATTAGAACGCTGAATATAATCGCCCAGGAAGTCCCGTCCTTGTCCTTCTCGGTTCGCAGCACTCTCGGCCGTCGCCGTGCCCCAAATCGTACCCTTGCTGGGCCGGTTCGCTGCCTTGGGCACGTCCACGATCATGCTGCTGATCCCCATACTAATCGAGACGCTGACCAAGTAGGCGGAAGTCGCGAGGACGTTGCTCGCGAAGAACATCACTATTTCCGTCGTGTGACCGCTGATCTTGGCGCGATTCCCCCACGAGGCGGAAATAATGAGAAACGAGACGGGATCGATCGAAGGCTTCGCGTTGTCTCAGCGACACTACTCGGGAGAATATTCAGATCACTTGTTTCCTCGATCTTCTTAAAATTTCCCAAAGATTTCCGTTCTTCTCTCAAGTGGAAGCTACCGATTCAATATTTCTCGAGAAAACGGTCAGATCGGTCTTCAGATCAGTCGATCCTTCCTTCGACCTCAATTTGATCACGATCACGTTTTTTAGATTACACACACGCGATACACACGGTTACATGTAGTTATGTAGTTATCTTTTATCTGACAAAGTGTCTTATTTAGCATACGTATCAAAACATAAATTATAAATAAGTTGACGCAATTGCGCGATTGTGTTACTCCGTGAGCGATGAAACGTACGATTGTGTTACTCCGCAAATTTTCAAGGCGATAGAGAGTCGATCGTTAAGAAATATAGCGGAGCGAAGTGGGGAGGAGTGTTGATTGATAACCTATTGAGTTACTCAAGTGGTACTCGAGTATTTTCGGAGCAGAATTATGAAAATGTTGTTTCCGTTCTTCCATTGTTACATAACAGGCAACGCGGTGGAAATACTATACGAGTCATTTCGATATTAAGGATGTAAAGAATCGCGCAATAATCGCGCGTGAAAGATGAAGCACCGTTGATGCGGAAGAATATTCGCTTGCGGGCGAAAAAGCGGCGAAAGGACGAAAGGCGCGAGATATATCGATGATGTTCGATCTCGAGCATTCTTATGTCTATTCAGTCATTTCCTGCGCGACTTTGCAAATATTCCAAGATGGATGGAGGAAACCGACCGCAAAATTAACATACTATTATATGTCAGAGTTTTAAAGTCCTGTTGAGGGTGCAAAATTAACATTTATGTACAGCCAGTAACATGTGCGATAAATAGTTAGGCAGCTGTAAAAATTTGACATGTTTATGTCATAATTACATGTACATCTGTAATTTTGTCAGCTGTCTGACTATCTCCCACGCATCTACATAAATCATAGATTCGCTTCCTCATATTTTTTGTGTTTCGTAACATGTGAAAACATGTAAAAAAAAAAAACAGTTGCAACCGTCCTGTGATCGACTGCATATGGATGCGAGCCAGCAATATATTTCTACCGAAATATATATGAGAGAGAGAGAGAGAGAGAGGGAGAGAGATAGTCTTACGAAAATTATTATATATTTCCTTGTAAATAACTATTCTTTAAAATGTTTGGGGATTGACGCTTCTAGAAACTAGGTCCCAAAACCGACATACCTAATGGTACCTTGTAGGAAATTATAAAAAGAAATACAATAAAAGCATTAAAATCACATTATTTTTTACATATTTATTATATATTCTTACATGTTATCTATAATCTTATATTTTTTAACTTGACTTAATTTTACATTGCTATATATTGCTATATTACTCTTTTATCACGTGGGAAGGAATCCTCTGACTTCTCCTTCCCGACCATCGTCAACAGATAAATGAGAAAAATAGGGGAAATCAGTCAAGCCACTCTATAAAATAACATTGTCGAACAAATGATCAGAGTATACTCAGCTTTAGCGCGCGTGAAATCTCCGCGAGCGCGAGGACCTCATCGTTACGATCGGCGATACCGATTTCTGGCAGTCGAATAAAAAGGAAAGTTGCGACATTAGTCTGACATTTATTTGCGTATTTCCCGGCGATTTTCTCGCGCCTAATGTCTGAAATCAGTCACGACCGTTGCACCGTGGGACCCTCAATTTCCGTAAAGATTGGAATGTGACGCTTGCGACATTTCGCACGGGGGGGAAGGGGGACACCTTCAATTTCCCTCGACCGGCGGCTTACATAATCGCGGCACGACGTAGTTGCGCCGCGCTCGACTCGTGAAAACAAGAGCAGCAGCCCCACAATGATCAAGGAACATGCGCCGCCGCGGCGGTGCAGCGATTCCACAGCGGTGGGAGACCTCGTCATGAGCCTTCAAAGCAAGGGAACGAAGCGAGAAAGCAAGAGAGAGAGAGAGAGAGAGAGAGACGGCGAGCGAGCAGGCCTCGTGAACGGAAGAAGACGAGGATATGGTGAAAGGGATCGCTCGAGGTGCGGAGCCGCGAATCGTGCTGATCGCGCAGTCGAATAGCCGACTGCGTCCCTATGTGTACGAAACTTGAGCACGGGCGAATTCGCCGGACAGAGTAGAATCTTGCCTCGCAGGAAGCGCAGGTGTCGGCGAAACTGTCGTGTGACTCGAGCCGCGGGCTCGATACCGCGTTTGCGTTTGCTCGATTGCAACGTTTGAGTGTCCACCGTGTCGGGGATTCATTGCCGCTTCCGGGGCTAATCGGCGCGAATAAACGCGCGAATAATGGGCTAGAGAAGCGGAAGCGCGGCGGGAATGATCGGGTGAAGGGGAATATACGTCGGCGTGCGTGTGAAAGCGGAGAGCAATTCGGCGATCCGGATTTTCGCGCCGCAGGATGCACGGCTGGAAACATCTCCACTTACCGAAAGATCTGTTCGAAACGCTCTCTTCCTCTCACTCTCTCTCTCTCTCTCTCTTTCTCTCTCTCTTACTCGTATGAATTCAGAATCCACTGTAAGCTTGCATTCGAGTGCAACCCTCATTCTTCCGATTTTTCGTGGCGATATTTTTACTATCAGATTTGATATCGTCACTTCTCGTGTGTCTTGAGATTTTGAGGATTCACTCGAAGGAATTTGGAGAGTAGCTTCAATCTTATCATTCCTGCCCGTTACATAATTGCTCGATCTCACGTGAAAATTCACAGGAAGACGCCCAACTGACGCCGGCGATTTGAATTCATTAGGACGGTCTAAGCCACCGTTCCTCTTCAGCTTTGTAGCCGTTTCACGACCCACAAAGGTAGTTACTTGACCAGTGGCAACTTCGATAGAGCGATATTATCGGTCGGTCTGATCGCGAGGGATAGTTCTCCGTATCTCCGATATTGATAATTGAATTAATCGAAATTATACAATCAGTTTCTGTAACAAATCATTAATCGTGCTCGCTCCGAGGTAGCCGTCCAATCGAGCGTGTTGCCGCCACTATCTACTCCTTCCCTCCTCCTTCCCCTCTCTCTCTCTCTCTCTCTCTCCCTCTGCTACGGTGTGCTTGCACGCGCGAGGAAGCTACTTCTCTGCTCGGTAGTCACTCACGTGTATTGACTGTCCGTATATATACCTGGCTAACGCCGAAGGAACTTGCCCAGTCGTGTGCCGCCTGTCGTCGTTCCACGTTAATTTCGTTGCCTCTCGTCCCGTTATCCGCTGTCTTCCCTTTCCCTTCCCCTGCTCATTCACATGCTGTGTTCCAATAAGATTGTCGAGGGTGTGTACACGTCAAGAAGAGGACTCGAGACGACGGCGGCAGGAAAAGCAACAAGCGCCTCCTCCCCCGAAAAATCCACGAGGGTTGGGAGGAAAATTCAACCTCAAGAACAACGCGTCTCAGCGACAACACAAGAGAGTTCCCAACGTCGGGATTCACCGTCTTGCAACCGAAAGAGGGAAGTTATCCGAAATCGGGATTTCTGATACAGCAATCGCAAGTTGACAAAAGAGATACGCGAGATTAGAATCATAAGGTTCGTCGACTGAAGTGTCGTAACGGCGGCGGCGAAACGTGGCTTCGTCGATAGGAGTGATTCCCGTGACCAACACCCGTCGAGAAAAGAAGTAGATCAGAGCGACTCGTCGCCGAACTCGAGATTTTTTCACGGTGCAGGTTGGAGAGGCCTGCTTTCCACCGTCGTCCCGCCGAAGTGAAATCCACCCGACAATTGATCGGCTCGATCTTCCGGATCCGGACCGTCTTCTCGAACAGCGATTTGCGCGACGTTAATCCGCGAGGTCGATAAGGCTGGTGAAATTTTAATCGAGGGATATCATCACCGGTCATCGTTCCGCCTTTGTCACGAGTTGCCGCGCGATCCGTCAGGTAGTTGAGGCCCGATTTTCACCGGGGGGATTACGGAAATGATGTTTGGCGAAGTATGCAACTGATTGTTTTATAATCCGCCGAGATATCGCCGTTATCTCACCCTAATATAAATGTAGCCTTTGGGAAGAAGGCAAGTTACGAGGATCAGGACTTGCGCGCGCGCATCGCACCAGCACGTGTGCTGCTCCAGCATTTTGCACTTCGCTAGAACTGTGGGAGGGAGACGAGAGGGAAGGATTTGGAACGGACGAAAAGTGAAGTTGAACGAGAGGATACGAGATTCGCATCTACTGAGAGATAGAGAGAGAAAGAGAGAAAGAGAGAGAGAGGAGGAGGAGAGACGATGTAAATCGAGAGTACCAGGTGTTCTTCTCCGGTGTCGTTGAAAAGAAAATACTCAGGTCTCGTAGATCGAGCCTGTCCCCCTGCGTTCACGTCGTAGAACAGAAAAATGTAAGTATAAATTAATTATATGTAATTTATCGTACCTTTCTGACGAATTTACTCCGGAACGTATTATTTCTGATACTGAAGCTTGTTACTTAACGCGTTTCGCGAGCATTCAAGGCCTCGCCGAAGCTCCTAACGTCTGTTTAGCGAAGAGTGCCTCTATCTTGACAACGTCGTTACGTGTACATTATCGATAAGTTATCAGCACATTAGCAATGAACAAAAGAAGTTGACGTCAGCTTCGCGAATGCAAAATTTAAAAATTGTTCGTTCATATAATTAGGCGACGGAACAACAAGTGGAAATCCAATTCGCCGATTGTTTTATTATTTAAGTCGTGATTTAGTAAAATCTAACAATTTACTTCTTGACAGATCTGAACGCCAATAAATTCGCTTGAATTTAATTGAATAGAAATCAACTTCGTTCCTTTATCAAAGAGTTATGTGTCGATTTAAGCGTCGCAAAAGAGAAGGGAGAAACGTTCCGTTTGGATACCACTGACTCGAAAACTGACTCTTCGGCTGAAAATCGACTCTGAATTCAGCGAAAAGTTTGTCGTTTAAAATTATTCGAAATTCGACGCGACTCGAAGTTACAGCAGCATACATCGTAAATCATATTGCTACTTATATGACATTTGCGCAAACATCCGTGAATAACGTGCTGTTTACCGGAAGATTAAACGGCATGCACCGGTTAAGTGCAATTAATCCTTCCGGGAGTACGCCGTCTCCGTATCGCGATAGGATAAGAAGGATCAGAAAGATTTGTGGATTTACAGCACACAAGAGAATCTCTTTGCGATAATATTTTCTCTCGGCTGCCAATGAGAGATTAATGAGCGACTTAAACGTGATCTGGCTCGAAGCTCGCGGGCACGCTTTTGCACTAATGTAAATTGATGAATCGTTGATCCGATAAAAATATCTGACGAGTCTAAGATAATTGCGAATGCGAGTGTGTAAACTTGTAAACATTGCCATTGGACTTATCAAACATCAAATATCAGCTGTCGACTCAGAAGCCGTTCTTTGTATTCGATACAGATACATCGAGATCTCCTGAGGTGCTACGCGACTTGAGAGATATTTTTCCTCGTGCGTTATGTCATATATACAATGTAGATATTGATGGATTACGTCAGCTTACATGGATTTGTTTGAAGTTGTACTACGAGTCATAATCGTAATTGCGCTGAAACATAAAAATGCATATTTGCGCTGAAACATAAAAATTTGAGGTTGCACTACGAGACACAATCGTATTTTGCGCTGAAACATAAAAATAATACGAACATACCGAGAGAAGTCCACCAGGTCGAACGAACGTTGAATTCAATTCGTTCAGTCTCGTGCCCTCGGATACACTTGATGGAAATTTGCGACATTATCGGCGGTTTCTTTGTGTAATTAGTCCTAAACTGTGAAAGTTAGAAAGTCTCGGCTTTCAGGCGACTTGACTCTCTTTGCTGGTAAAAATAATATATTTTACAATATTGGGACGCAACACGTGGAATGATAAATTTTTGTTACAAGTGCGCTGTTGAAACGATAATTCTTAATTGAGTTATTTTTACTTAATCTTTTATTTAGTTAATATCGACGGTTAGTGTCGATGGTTAATATCGAGCGCAACTTTTAGAATATGACTATTTATTTATGACAGATTAATGTAAAAAGAAATGGAAGATAACTGGGATTGAAAGATTGCGGTCTGCTTTACAAAAATGCAGATATCATTTAATACCTTCTTTTACGAAGTCGCTCGCAACAAGATTTATATTTCCTTCAACTCGAACTTTGATTTAATATTTATCGGCACGATTTCTGTGAATCAATCTATCTTGCTAGAGAACTTTCATTCGCCGATTGATTTACGAATCGTGATGATACGCAGTCATGCTTAACAAAATTCACTCACGTTTTTCTACTTTATTTCTTAGAACAACGGAGCGCGCAGATAAAGAAACACGCGAAATTAATTTACCTCTGTGAACAATGTCGTCTTTCTTTCCTTTCTCTTATCGCTAATACTTGAGTAAATTGCAATATATTTTCAAGCGGAGCCGCAGTTCCTTGGCTAATTTTCTAATAACCTTCGAATACCGAGGAAGATCGCACGTAAGTTTGTGTACGCGTACTTATGGGTAAAGATACATTTTTGTGATTAATTATCATGGATTATAATATTAAGAGAATACTGAATCTTTAACCATGCGAAAAAATTATGATGCAGTAAACCATTGTTATAAATTACTCGACAAATATACAATAGATAAATTTACGTTTCAGTTTTAGTAGTTTATTTATGGTTTTAAGAAAAAAATGAGATATTCAAGCTTGTAGAAAGCTTGTTTATTATGAAATATACGCGATGGAAAAAGTATTCTTTTTTTAGTTTTACTATGATTTTGTGCATACCTATCATAAAATTCTGTAAAGCTGCGAGCGTTATACAATATTCTCTTCCTGAATAAATTCTTTATCAATCAAACCTCTGAAACAGAAGAAATAACATTGATTGAAAAACTGGCATTTCAAAAGCCACGTTTCTGCGAAATTTTTCGACTTTCTGCCCATTTTTTAAAGTAAATGCAATTTTTTAGTATCTTTTAGGTTTGGTTTATAGAAAATCTAATTAGAAATATTTCAGAAAAAAGATTGTTCTGATCTCTTTTTGTCTTTGAGAAATCGTAGGAAAACCGAAGAGAAACATAGTCTCGAGAAAAACGTATTCAAGGTTTTACAACAGATTTTCAATGTAATACATTGTGTTTATCCACTTCAAAACTGACTATAGAATGTGGTGTTCAGAAATCCTGCAATATCAGATAGATGCTCATTATCTGTTGACAGAGAAATCAATCTTCTTCCACAAGAACTCACGTACGTTGCTTGCCACACGCAGCGTGCCTGGTTTAATTCTTCGCACATATTAACGACTCTTTCACTCGAATCGGCATTTAAATTATTTAAGACGTATAAATATCTCTTATATCCGTCATTAAACATCGCTGCATTTAAATATACAACTATTCGCACAATTTCTAGCCCAGAAGATTTATGTTTCAGAAGCAATTTTCATACTAATGAATAGAAACTTTCATTCGCATTCTATGTAAAATTTCCCAAACATCTCCCAAGAAGCTCGACATATTGCAATATAGAATGCTAGTGTGGTGAAATTTCTGTTTTATGAAATATATCAAAAAATTCGAGTGCACGCCTCTTTCGTTTCTGCCGAAATCATAATTTTCAATACTGAAAAAAATTCAATAAACGGCAAAACACTGCTAGAAAATGGCCCTGTGAAAAATCATTAAGATTCAAAGGCCGACTTTTTCGTCATTTCGGAGGTCCGATGTTTCTTACTCAAATCTTCCGGTGATACTCGGTCGAGGTCTAATTCCACCTCCGTAAATTACCGACCTCGGTTACAGGCAGAGATTCTACCTGATATATTCGCTTCTCGGTATCGTCCTTTACAGTCTCATCGCGTCGGAATATTTATGAGTCTCGCAGTCTCAGCTGCGTGGGTCTCGTCCGCGACGCTGAGGTCTCTCTCGCATATGCACCGCGTATCCCCTCGAACAATCAAGGATCCTCCGTGGATCCGTAATTATATATTCAAATCCACTTGTCGCTCGAGTACAGCGAGAAAGACCGCGGCAGGTGGGCTCGCTCGTGTGTAACACGACGGGACATTTTAACCTACCGCTTTTACGTAAAATGGCGAAAGCAGATCAAGAATCGCTCGCTATGGCCGGCTGCAATCTTGACGGCAACGGCTCTCTCTTGCACAACTCCGTCTGTCTGTGATTTTTTTATTTGCCATTAATTTCCCGAGCGAATCTCGGTGAATTTCACCGAGTCGGGCCGTAATACGTGAAAAATATTCGTCATCGCCGGGACAAACAGCGTATTATCGCGCTTCATCGACGTATAAGGGAGAAACTTTGGTGGAAATTGGTCAAGGTGAGGAAGACGTCGCGTAAAACACTCGCACTTTTATCGGGATTGTGGGCATGTGTGTACGGTCGTATCTCTGGGTATTTTTCGCGGAGATCGGCTACTTCTGCCGATAATTTTCTGCAAACTCTCGTCAAACGGTGGCAATTTGTTCGCACCATTTTTCTCGCACTCGCACTCGTGGTTTTATTATTCTCGATGCTTTTTTCTGTATCTCGGCAGATTCGATAAAACTGATAACCAGTGGCAAGTGGGCTTGAGCTGTGCAACGAGTTACACCTCTGCAAATCGTGCAACACGTTCACTGATCGGATAAAGTCCAGACGTGTAGATATGCAATCTCCTCATCCGCGTTCTTCGAAACGGAGCTTGTCGCTCATATATTATTATTTTACGCAGGTGTTAAAAATGATGGACATTTTACTTTAACGGACGCTTCACTTTGGCAAGGATGGTTTAAGATTTTATTGCTTATAGGTACATTCAGCGAAGCTAATCTTATCGAGAAATAACTTTACCGAGATTCGCATCATCCTCTTCAGCTCACGTTTTTTTGCCTTCATGTCAAAGCAAGGAAGTAACTATCAGCCGAATGGGAATTAATGTATTAGTCACTTTGACTTTAATCGATCAATTTTTCCTCCACAAACGTCGATTCGCGCACCTTATCAGTTGTTTCTTTCTTTTTTATGACGTTACTACAAGAATGTATTCGCGGAAACAATTATTTAAATTAGCATAATGCGATAACACGGCCGATACTGTTGCAAAATAGCAATTTAACGTTGCGCTGGACGACATTCATAATAGCTAATGCTCTTTCGTTACTTTCGATGCACGAAATCTTAGTGAAATATTAGACCGATTCGTATTGGTACAAAAAATCGCGATCAATCATCAGTAATTGCTGGAGGTTCGGCGGAACGAAACGCTTTATACGCGATCCGTGACTCGATGCTTCGATTAGTGTATTCTTTTGATCTTGCCAAGTTCTCTTGTCAAATAGCGTCAATTAGCGTTTGTTCGGTAATTGATTGTTTGTCGCTTTATATTTGCGATGATATAATCGCAATAGCGAAGAAATCTTTCCCTTTTAAATACATGGAAAATAAAAATTAGTAGCAATTCAAGACTTATGTTCTCATATTAAGTAAGAATATATAATCTTATATGAAGATAAAACTTGGTTACATATGAAGAAATTCTATATAGTTGCAGCAAAAATATCATATTCTTGTTATTCAGAAATAATTTTCATGAATCGAGAGGTGTAAATATTGGATAGAAAGAACGACAAATATTTAAAAATTAACATTTTGATCATTGATACCAAACTATGTCGAAACATAAACATTTCCATCAAATGTGTCACGCAAAGTGAATAACCACGTATATCCATATTTTTTTATTAATTGCTGAACGGCCAATATAATTCTTAGTTTGAAGGTATCATTCTTTCTATCCAATATATATTTATATATTGGAAGAAAAGAAAAGCATATAGAAAAAAAATATATAAAAAGTAAGGATATATACTTGTTCCTAACTTTGTTTTTCAATGAAGCTGAGACATGATATTAGAAAAACATGAATATTTCTAATGATGTACGCGATGATGCTTTCCAAATTATCGCGGAGTGTAAAACAAAAAATATAACTTTCAGAGTTTATTTATCTTATTCATTCTCCGTTAGGCGAGTTTCAGTCCATTCCTCTAACTGTGTAACGATTGTTCAACGCGTTAATAATAATTAACACAACAATATTCCTGTATTACGATTTAATTATTATCAAGGTATAATTTCTCAATAGTATTTAATGTAAAATTCTTACTTTGTTTCCTTTTCTACAGTAGAACTAGCCATGGGTCGAATGGAGAACGAGCAGTCGGCCACCGACAATCCCATGAAGGAATTCAGCAGCAGGTATACTTTCGCCATATGTGCAATATCCGGAGTTTTATCGCACGACGACCCAGAAACGAAAGTACACAAACATTGGAATACGAATTTCGTTGGCCGTCTCGCGTGAAAAATTTCCGTTTATATCAGCAACGCGCAATGACGTCGCCAAAATCATTCAGATCTCGATCGATATCAACGATTAATACCGACGAGATCGACAAAGACCTTTTAATGGACTGCGTCATCATTCGTGATGGGCGTCGAACATGCCTGAGATAACGCGTCAAATAATCGTTTTGTATACACATCGTCTGCAAAAATAATCTTTCTTGATTGAAGACTGATCACGAATGATAGGAATGGAATGCGATTATGTCGCGTTCGCGTGGAGAACGTTGTGTAAGTGGGTTTTCCCTTCAACATTCTCCACAGAATGTCTTGATTTTCGTCCGCATTGTTGCTAAACATCACGAGTTACGCAACGAATTATATTATCAACCGTGATATGAGCCGTTTGTTTTCTATCAAATAATCATTTTATATCCAATGTTATTTTCCGCATGTATTCTACGCACAACAATTAGGGAAGTATTTGACACCTTCTTAAAAAATACGCAAGATTCAAGTAGCTGTAACTTCCTTAAAAGGTTATCGAAATTCAAATCTAAAGTTTCAAAGCTTGAAGTCTGTATTTTTCAATAACCTCTATCGTCTTTTATTTCTTCTAATTTTGGTAATGTTTACACACCAAAAACGACGCATAAGATTCGGTGGAAGTGCAAAAATTTAGTTCAACGAGATAAAATTAATTTTGCAGATTGTCACACGAAAAAGTGTTCGGTTGAATTTTCTTGACGATGAACGAACTAAACGCATTTTACTTGAGGGAAGCAGAATCTCCGGGTTTTACGAATCAAATTCGCTTCTTATAACAAGAAATTATGTTTTCTTCAACCGAAATATGTTTGCTTTGCTTGTCATCGTCGGATAAATTTAGTCAAGTTATTTTTCCGCGCAACTTTTCAGTGTCTTCGTAATTTTACGTGTACGACGTTATGCTTCTTTGCAATAACTCTGATATAAACTTTTATGTGTTATCTCATATAATTCATTTATTTTCAGTACGAAGATAGCTCCGACAGTGATCGGCGAATATCGGGAAAAAGATGAATTGTACGACCCCTTTGAGCATCGTGACAAACGAAATACGACCTCGTAAGTTGTTTTATCACCGAATTATCACCGCTGGTATTGATAAACATATTTTACATGTATTTTCTATGCTCTTACGATAAACAAATACGATCCCAGACGTATGCAGGAAAAAAATTAGTATCAGAACTCATATTCTCATACATAAACAAAAACATGTGATTTTATGTAAAAACTACTTATATAAAAAAAATTCTATGTAGTTCTACTAAAAATGTTAAATTCCTTTTATTAGAATAATTCTTATGAAACAAGGACAAAATATTAGATATAGAAAGAACAATATCTTCAAACTGATATGATTCGTAGTTTAAATATATAGTTTTTAACATTTAATATTTTCTCTCTCGATCCATGAGAATTATTCTATTTCTTATCTTCATATATAAAATTATAATCCTTTTCTACATTCTTTCTATTTTTACGAAAATATATATCTCGATATTATTTTTTTCCGTGTACGCTCTCTCTCACTTTCTCTCGTTATACCTTTACAATCCGCATTCTATCGGCGGTATGTTTCAAATTTTCTAAATAACACCGTCGACTATAGATCTTACGTCTGCAAATCGACATAACGTCGTGACGTCGCATCCCACGTCATGTTTCAGGGATTTTGGTGCCCTGGCGCATCTCCTGAAATCCTCACTAGGAACCGGCATCCTAGCCATGCCGAACGCGATTAAGAACGGCGGGCTACTGTTCGGCGGGATCGGCACGATCATAATCAGCTTCATATGCGCCCATTGCGTACACATTCTGGTGCGTACGTCCCACATACTCTGCCGGCGCACCAAGACGCCGAAGATGAATTACGCCGAGACCGCGTACGCGGCTTTCCTCTGTGGACCCGTGCCGGTCAGGCCGTGGGCTAACGCCAGCAAAATATTCGTCTACGCGGCATTGTGCGCGACGTACATAGGCGGCGCGTGTGTCTATGTCGTGTTCATCGCCGAGTCCATTCAACAGGTACGCCTTGCATTATTCATCACCACGATATTATCCTTATTGAGACGCCGTGGGCGCACAATGAGCACATATCGGTACACTTTTATCTCGCTCACGGCTGCGACCTTTTCAACAAGGTCTTTCCTGCAAAACGTATAACGAAATTTCCCCTCTATTTTAGGAAGTTACTTATTACGCAAGAGAAGTTTAAAAAAAAAGTCCAGAAGCACTCGATTACCGATTGGAAAAATTTACAACTCGTTGCACAAGTAGAGTACATGTTGAAAATTCTTCTTGTGTGTGCAGTTGATATTAGAAACCTGGGAAGTCCGAAATGGTAGCCGACTTTTCGGTCGTCCTGCATTACCTTCGCCCCGTTTGACGCCTTCATTCCGTTATTTGTAGATGGCGATATTAATTATCAGATCAACGTATAATGAAAATGACTGAATGAAAAACACTGATATAGACAGAAATCTAAGAGATAAACTGCCAAGGAGGGCGTCAAATATCTTGAACAATGCATTGTCCTGGGAGAAATAAGGCGAGAGAGAGAGAAAGAGAGAGAGAGAAATATTGCCGATATCGGGGATATCGTCTCTCCGATAACTTGTTTTCCGATAACTTTCTTTATTGGAGGGGAGTGCGCGGCTCTCGCCTTGTCCTCCCTTCGAATCCGTGCCGCGACGTTGCCCCGAGCCCTTCCATAAGACACAACCGGGTCCTCTTAGTCACCTTGTGTGACGTTTTCTCCCTTCAGGTCGCGAATTACTACACCAGCTCCGTGGTGGACATACGTATGTACATCCTCGCGCTAATCCCGGCACTGGTGTTGCTGGGTCAAGTGCGAAATCTCAAGTACATGGTGCCGTTCTCGATGCTGGCGAACATCTGCATGATGACCGGCTTCGCCATCACGCTCTACTATGTCTTCAGCAACATCCAGCCGATCTCCAGCGTCAAGATGTTCTCTTCGGTGGAGCAACTGCCCCGTTTCTTCGCGACTGTGATATTCGCCATCGAAGGTATCGGCGTTGTAAGTTCCACGTTGCCAATGTACTCGCGTTCTGCTCCCTTTCCCTTCTGATTTTCTCCTTCCCCTCATCCTCGTCCTCGCGTTATCAAAGTTACTCAAGCGACCTGATCACGACCGTGATCGCAGGTGATGCCCGTGGAGAACAACATGCAGAAACCGCAGCACTTCCTGGGTTGCCCTAGCGTGCTCAACATTACGATGACCATAGTGGGGTCTCTGTACACCATACTGGGAGTATTCGGTTACCTCAGCTACGGTGAGAAACTCAGAGGCAGCGTCACGCTGAACTTATCCGTAGAGGAGCCGTAAGTAGATCGTTCCACCTTTGTCCCTCTCGTACATTTTTTGGGTCTTCTTGGATATACACTTGCTTTCAATTCACGGTTTGAAGACTTTCTTCTCGATACAGTTTGGGATGCTACCGATGGTCCAACGGGAGAACTCGTGTCCGATTAATTCCCAGAAGTTAGTTGAGTTGAACCATCGGCTACGTTCCAAACTATACCGAAGTAATAAAATACAAGCCTTAATGAAACCGAATATACACCGGTATAATATCTAATGGCACAATAGTAGTAACTAGAATTTTTTAGTCACTCTCATCGTGTCAACATATTCGTGCGTCACAAGTGTTGATTATTCAATAAAATTACGACAACAATGCCTCGACTATTATTCACAAGTCGTGGAATTCATAAAACGTAAAATAAAACGTAAAATCATGCGTAGGACAAATAATAGAGGAAAAGCACCAAAACTGACATAAATAAACCGACGTACTCATATTTCTTGGCTGTAAAGTACTAAACTCGGTCGAACTTCGTCTACCATGTACAGTAGGAACAATTGGAGTTTAAGTAACAGTATCTGTTTGCAAACACGTGCGAATGTGTTATTAGCGTCGTTTGATTTTTCATCGTACTGAAGTTTTCTTCTTGTGAAAGTGAAAGTAACAAAGCAATGGTAAGTAATTTATTTAACAATGCTATTTTATAGTGTAAGTTTTGAACTTTTTTAAATCACTTCGGATCTCGCGCCAATCTCTATCCTCTATCATTGAACTACGCAAGAAAAGTTAGGGTTAGGTTGTTTTCTGTAAACCGACATACCCGAATTTATTGATCTGTCAACCGATACACCTGAACTTTGCCATGAAATATCATTTCACAGAATGCAGTTGAATCTGCCAGTAACTGACTTTTCCCCCGTTTCTCTTGTTTATTTGTTTCAGGTGGTCAGAAAGAAGTGATCTTTTTCCACACAATAAAAAAGAACAATATACGTCGTGAAATTTTTAAAATTGTTAAAAATATGTAAGATTGAAAATAACAAGATATAAAATAAATACATCATGAGTATGTCAGTTTTGGGGCCTAATTTCTAGAAACGTCAATTATCAAACATCTTAACAATTAGTTATTTGCAAGGAAATATGTAATAACTTTCATGAGGTTGTAATATATTTTGGTAAAGAAAGGTTTGCGTCCATGCATATAAATATTGATTTTACACTTTCAACAAGATTTCAAAGCCCAAAAACACAATGTTGGTTTTAGCGCTTCTCTTCTAACATGTGACGTATCACTTCGTCCGATAATTGCGATACACAAGTATGTAGATACGATATGCTTGTGATCGGAAAATCCTGGTGACTCCGATGATTAGTAAATGTTAAGATTATCGTGCCAATTTATGTATACGTCGATCATTACGTGGAAAATTAACGGAAAACGATGTTTCAGTCTGGGCCTGTCGGTGAAGATTCTCATCGCCCTGGCCGTTCTTTTCACTTACGGGCTACAGTTCTTCGTATCGCTCGAGATCATGTGGAACGCCATAAAGCCACTGATCTCTCACAAATACCAAGCAATGGGCGAGACATTAATGAGGATATCAATGGTCATGTTAACAGGTAAAACACCCTCTCATCTATATGTACGAAAGCGGCCCAGGTAGCAGAAGACTTCTAAAGACTTAAAAACTCCTAAAAGAGACGTGAAAAAGAAGGAAACGTTTTTGAAATATGTTTGAGATACTTTTAAGACGTCTTTTAGAAGTTTCCACTACCTGGGATTATTCCCCGCAATATTGATCGAACTAGAGCAGCGTACGCGTCATACCTTGCATGCTTAGCAAAAGCTGCTTTCTTACCGCCTTTTTCGGTTGCGTATTTTAACGTGACCTTTAGATTCAGCTCCTCTCTCTATCTGCGCGTACGACAGTAACGGAAGTTGCGGGGTTCTTTCGTAGCAGTGGGTCTTTCTTTCTTTTTTCTTCCTATTAACGTTACGCGGACGGTATCGCGAATGAGCGCGCGTTCTTCAGACGGAGAAACCGCTATTAAACGATGATGATGAATCACGCGCTGGTAAGAGGTCGGTCGGAGACCCGACGCGAGCCGATTGAACGGTGTCACCCACTTACTCCACGGGCGATGCGCCTTTTTATTATCGAATGCACACCGAGAAAGAAAGGAATTGCCTGACGTATCTGCTCGGGTCAGTTCTTTCGCTCGGTGCAATGGTTACGGCCCAGTTAGAACCGCATCCGATTCAATTTCTAGTCGTTACTTCACTCGCATGAACTTACGGACGCAAACATCCGTAATTACGCGTTGCTTTGTTGTTTGAAGACGCGTGTATATCGCAACGAACGAGAATCGTCGAGCTCTCGTAAGTGCAGCAGTGAAATTTTCTTCCTTAAGGTTATATTGCAAAATTTTTCCCGCTTCGTGTTCGCTTCACGTCCCTCCTTCCTTTTTCTCTGTCGCGACTATCGTTTCCCGCTCGCAGCGTTGGGTAAAATAACAAGCTATTCAGTTAAAAGTTAAGTTAAAAAGTCATAAAAAGTTCGTAACTTTTTATTTGACTTGGTTAATTTTTAATTTCAGGTTAGCTTTTAACTAAGAACTTAATTTAAGACGCATTAACTTGATCTTATTAACTTAATTTATTCGTGAGGTGAAATAAAATCCATCAAATATTAAAATCATTGATCGTGGCTTTGCGTAATTAATTTTTAACTTCGACGAGGTAATTTAATTCAACTTAACTTTCAATTAAGTCAGTTTCAATTTCGGTAAATTTTAACTCAACTGAATTAATTTTATGGACCATTAACTTTTAAAACTTAATTAGAAATAAAAATTAATTCAGCCCTGCCCGTTCGGGGTCGGAGAATAACGTACTGCTGTGTCCTTTTGCAGTGGGCGTAGCATCGGCGGTACCCAAATTGGACCCGTTCATCTCTCTAGTCGGCGCAATATTCTTCTCCGTCCTAGGCATCAGTATTCCAGCCGCTGTCGAGACCGTTTCGTGCTGGGAGAGCCATTTGGGCACGTTCAAGTGGCGACTATGGAAAAACGGTTTGCTAATATTATTCTCGTTATTAGCGATGATATTCGGCACGTGGGTCTCAATATTAGATATAATAGATCTTTATAAGTGAGATAATATAAATAATTGTTTAGTATTTCATCGGTGTTTTTATTCAACCACCATCACTTACACACACATACAGAGAGAGAGGAGACTTTGCTCCGGTCACTTCGGATGGAATATCGGCAAATGAGTCGAAACATTTAATGAAGCAATTAGCCTGAAACAGTGTCCTAAATAATGCACAAATTAATTATGCGATGTTTTTCCACTGTTGCGTTGTGTCGATTGATGATAACTGACTTTTTTATTTGTAATTTGTTCTCCGTGCAGGAGAATCGTAACCAGAACAACAGATCCCGATTATACCGCCGGAACTTAATATAAGAAATGTAACAATTACATTAATTAATCGCTGAGCCTGATACGCATGTGCCATAAAATGCAATTCTACCAGTTTGGTCTGCAATATGTACAGAGTGTATCAGAACTCATGCTCATCTTCTGTTGGCTGCATAAATTGAAGATTTTAATATAAAAGAAGAAAAAATAGGCGGTAGTGTGAAGAATCCGTTAGTTTCATGTTATATACAATTTCGAATTTAGAGCTCTTACGCGAATCGCAAATTCATATTAACGGAAAACGATAGTCGCTGAGGTGCGTAAGTGAATCGGCGGGGAAGTGGATCGACCTTTATATTGAATCGGGCTCCTTTGTAATCATCAATCGACGATCCTGTCACTTCGTAAATGAACAGGTACGAAGAGTTTCTCGTCCGGATTCAGAACACGCGCGTCGTATAATAAGTCAAAATGGCCGTGCAGGAAATGCGACTCGGAGGAAGCTTATCAGGCCATCTTATTTACGACAACCCTGCCCGTTAAATTATCGATTGTCCGGTTTAGTTAAATCACTTATTAACATCGTTAGGTTTTTTTCTTATTTGTTAGATATTTGGGAAATCCATCAGAAGTCTGCTCGTAAACGTGTTAACAATATCTTTATGTTGGCGAATGTTCTTAGGAAATATTTTACTCTTTTTGTAACTACCGAACAATAACACATGTTTTCCTTGAGTTCATATATATATATATATATATATATATAATAAGGGAAATTTTCTTATACGTCAAATTCCATAAGGCCAATGAACTTTAGTATTACCTCATCGGTGCGTGACGCTAGAAGTTGGATGTAATCTAATTTCTTTGACACGAAGCGTCAATGTGATGTCACGTAACTACGCTCGATGTTGATGCAGCGTTTCATGAATTTGCGCCTTTACGCGCAAAAGGTGCAAAAAGTGCAGTATGAAGGAGCAGGACAAGTAGTGCGTCCCCGCATCGCGCGACATCAGCGACAAAAAGACAAACGGCGGCGTGCAGCTCTTTCGATCGTGCATTTTCGTTTCTCAATTTTGCGTCCCCCGTCGCTATTAGACTCCCCGGCTCGGTAACACGCGTTCGCGTTCATTCCTTCTCCACGTGGCGCAAATTTTTTCCACACACACGTACATACACATTCGACACCTCGGCGAACTGCCGACAGCGACGCGCTATAACCTCTTATCCTAACAATCATTGCGTGTGCTCGCTCTCGCCGGCGCGATAATGGCAATGAACGAGGAGTTCAATTTCAATGAGCTTTGCAGGCTCTGCTCATTGAAGGGCAATCATCCATTTCAAATATTCGACAAGGAAGGCGAACAGCGACAGCTGCTCTTCAAGATACATTCTTGTATTCCCGCTGTGGTGAGTACGAATCCGCGCTTTGCGACTCTGTTATTTACGCCGGTTGTCATTGTTAGTTGTACTCCGCGGTGTGTAAGACAGTTTCTAAATAATGGTAATGTATCATTCTGTGCCAATGCTTCGATTCAATATATATGTATGAATTCTTTTCACTTTGCATCCTTAGGAGGATATTATGTTATCTGGATACAACTGACACAAGTGTCACGAGAATATTAATTGATCTGTTTCATCTTGAATGATCAAACTCGAAGTATGATTTCGATATATAGATTGGAAGGTGTCAAATATCTTCGAAAAACTCGCCAAGATACTGACAGTTCATCAATCTAATTCATTTCATTAAGAACGTAGATGATTTAATCGAGCCAATTAAGTGCAACTTCACGATGTAAAATATACAGCTGTGTAAATATGGAAACTCAAGCAAATTATGTTTTATTACTTGGATTATTTGAATATTTAAAAAATCATATGCACAAGGTTCGATATAATAGTTTTTACATTGAAATAATGTTGAGAAATTATGTGTACTAATACTACCAATAGTGAGGCTAATTTTACATTTGCAAAAATTAATAGTTGGATAACAAAAGGTATTTTTATTTTTGAACTATTGTTATTTAAAATGAATGTTATAAAAAGAATCGGCATCATAAATTTTAATATTACCCGCAGTAAACAAAGATATATATATATAGAGATAAATATGTGGTGAATTCATAGTATAAATTTGTGAAAACATTAATTATATTCTCATGAAACGTGAAAGCTTGAAGAAAAGCATTCAGAGTCAATCTAAGGAGCTGATAATTGCAAGAAAATTCGAAATTGTTTGATACTGTAGCATAAAGTGGTTCGTTGCAGCGTAAGAATTAAAAAGAAATTCACACCTTCGTTTACATTACTTTTAGTCGGAAAGAAATGTAGAATTTTTTCGTTACAGATAACAAAAGAAGATGCCCTGCCAAAATATATCTGTCAAAAGTGTGTCCATAAAATAGATATGTTCTATGAGTTTCGTGCTAGCTGCATGGCCACGAACACAGTGCTGAAGAATTACGCTGACAGTATAAAACATCTCGCTGTAGCAGTTAGTAATCAAGTAAGTAAGATTCCAACTTTTAATGTCACTCTTGTATGCATGTTCATATACATATACACACACACACATATATATATACATGCAAAAAAAGGAATATTCGATCACTATATAACCAGGCAGAATAAATTTCTAAAAGATATTTCAAAGACGTCTAAAAGATGTTCTATTTTTTTTTTTAGATATCTTTCAGATGTTTTTAAGAAGTCTTTTAGAAATTTGTTCTGCTTGGGTATGTATATAAACCATACATTGTAGATATATGTTGTAGATATAAAATATCTTATTTTAAGACGTAAGCCGTAAGCAAATTGACCAACCATAATCGATTATTTTTCTATAATAAACGACTGATTGGTGATTGGTCAATTTGCTTACTGCCTACGTCTTAAAGCAAGGTTGTAGACAAGGACTTATTGTTTCCGAGACTGCGTGTCTGAATATTAGAGTTATAAATATCAATTGTATTTTAAGTTGAACCTAGTCTATTTGTTGCTTCTAAATACTCTGTTACATCGGCCTAATCTTGGATTTCTGATTCTTTTTTTATGTCTAACAATCTCCAACGGCTCATTCAAATATTTTGCACCGGTAAAAGATGGATAATACAACCACAAAACTATATTTATCATACCTATACATTAAACAATTTTATATCACAAACAATCCACCCAAATTTTTATGTCATTTTAACAAGATATATATCTTAAAAATAATGTGTTAATATGTTAACATATGTGTGTATTTTTTACCATATTCCCCGTATTAAAGTAACACAAAAATTTAAATGGATCGTTTGTAACACAAAATTGTTTATTGTGTATTATAATATTTCGAAGCAATTTTTGTTACCGATATTTCGCTTGTAGCTCATTAATGATCTTAATATTTTAACCTGACTTTCTCCGTTGCAAATAAATAAATTTTGTGAAAAAAATATCGTCCCACTCGTCCGGAAATATCGTTCAAAGTTGAACCTGGGACGTCCTTTTCCTTGCTGGATGGGTGGAGAACGCTTTGTCATTTTAATTCCTTACCAAAATTTCGAGCACTTCTGCTATCACGATCGACCGGACTGTTTTTTCGGAGCGCCGAGCGCGATCCTCTTTCGCGACCTCGTAAAAGCGCGCCGCAATATCCGTCGTGAGTAACGCGCCAAGGCATCTTTATGCGTTGGCGCAACGTAGCCTCACGTTTTATACGTTATAAGAGGTTCTTTATGCGGCGCGCCGGCATTCACCCACGTTTTTCTCTTTCTTTCCTTCCGTCTTGTTCTCGTTTACGGTAACCCGAACGATTCAGCGGCATTTAGTTAGCACTAATTCAAAGCACTCTGAGTATGACGGTCGGATACGTTGCTGAAGTCAATCGGTTTATGGATAGGATCAGTCCTTTCGAGTGCGGGGCGCTTTAGAGCTAAACGATCGCTGAGGATCGACGGAATACTTCGACATGTTTAGTCAATCGATGAAAGAATCAACTTTTTCTGGGAAAATCGAAAGCGGTGGACTCGAGGCAAATGAAATCTTATTTATGACCGTCGCTAAAAAGACCATGAATGAAAACATATTAATACAAAAGTTCGTTCCGTTTCTTAATTTAAATACACGTAAAGCATTTATTTATTTACTTTGAAATAAATAAGTTAATTTTTTTAAATTAATTTTAAGTGTGCGCCGTCTGTCCAGAGTAACTGCCATGATCTCGCGCTTGTAGAAATCCTGGGAATTTCTCAGCCGGAAAACCGATTAGGAAGAAACGGAACTTTTGCATCGACCCAATCCATCGCAACTCAACAGTTGACAACTTGTTTACTCGAGAGTACAACCCTTTTGAAAATTTCCAGACGGATTCCCAGGAAAATCCAAGGAATCCAACTCTTGTGAATCCATATAGGATATTCAAAATCTACATACAGGGATCCATATGGTGTGTGAAAATCCATATAGGAATCCGAATGGGTTGTCACCGAGGGCCCGGGTTTTTGCTCCAAATACCCAAAGGGGACGTGGGACTCCACATGGATTTTCCATATGAATCCTGGTTTTTTTCAACAGGGGAGTCGGAGGAACTCGTCAGACGCGTATACGAGCGCATACGTTCGAAAGATTAATCAGAACTGATTATTGGAAAATACCAATACTGAACGAGGAGTATCGTGAGATATGCATATCGTTTCCCTTCGTGCTTGCTACGAGCGAGAGAATTACAGGGACGAACACGCAGGGTCGGGACCGCGGATTCTGGATGGAGGAGGGTCGGGGGAGGGGGAGAAGGAGGAGGAGGGGATCACGTTGTGGGGAAGAGGAAACGCGCGCAAGGGCGTCGCTGATCGGTAGCTGGAGGTGCTTCGCTCCCCCTCGCGCGTCCCTCTTCTGCGTCTGCTGCACCCGGCGGAGCGCGCGCGATCTCAATAATTCCACCCTCGTGTACGCAACAGAGACGTCGCGACGGAAAGGAGGGGTGNGAGAGAGAGAGAGAGAGAGAGAGAGAGAGAGAGAGAGAGAGAGAAAGCGCGACGTCCGACGTCGCGACGTCGTCTATTGATCGGCGGCGCGTTGCGGCGAACGCGTTGCGCGCATATAGAAAGCGAAAGTCGCTGTACTCTCCTTTCTTCGCCGTGTCTCGACTGCACACCCCCTCCCGTTCCCTGTCCCCTTGTTCGCCAACATCCTATTTCCCTTCCACCTGCCGTCCTCTTCCTCTCGTGCTCGTCACGTAACACCTCTCTCTCTGTTCCTTTCCCGACTCCGCCGTGTTCTTTCCGCGCGTTTCATCTTGCCTCGTTTGTCTTCTCTCCTGCACACTTTTTTTTTTTAACGTTCTTATCCTTTAGTTTAATTTATCTATCGGTCAGTGTGCTTATGACGTAATACTGTTATTTATTTATGTACACGTTTGTCATTGTGGTAACATTGTTGTTGTTATTGTTGTTTGTCTTTCTACCTTCGTTTTAACCGCGTTGAATTCGGCTCGAATTTTGATAAATTGCCAAACTGTAAATTTTGAAAAGTAATTTGGCCTTCGGAGGATTCGTCTCGGGAGGGCGGGAGACGCGGGGATATTACCGCTGTTTTGCCTTGCTCGTTAGGAAATACGTTCAATTGTTGCGCCTCCTGTCGGAGAAGTGTCATTATCCTTCGGTAAGCAATATTCGCCTTTTCGTCTTCGATTTTTCGAGCCGACGGGGATCTGCAACGTGTACTCGGTGTGTCATGTTTCTAAAGGACTTAGTCATACAACACGATATAAATTCCACTCTGCCCTCCCTCCCTTGCTACTCCTGCTCCCGCCTTTCTCTGTCTCCTTTCACTTCTCCGCCAGTCTCGTATTCTCTCCCTCGTTCCCAGATCGCTCGATCCCCTCCCGGTACCTTTTCCCTCCCGCCGATCCGGCAGTTCTAGGCACAGGTGTAACGCGCGTCCGGGCCCCGCACCTCCGAGAAACCTGTTTCGAAACCCGGGATATCCCGCCGATCGCCGGAGCCTCGTTACGTGGGTGATTCTCTCTCTTTCTCTCTCTCTCTCTCTCTCTCTCTCTCTCACCGCCAACGTTCCGGAATATCGCCGGCTGGTCGAAGGGCGGCGCGACGAGGAGGGTTGCACGACGTCCTCGTCGTCCCTGGCGTCTCCCTGGTCGCTCCCGTGTTGCGAACGCGCGCGCAAGGTCTCCCTTTTCCCCCTTCTTCAACGTCTCGCCATCTCTCTCTCTCGCTCTCTCAATGTCAGTGTCAAGGTCAGCGGGCCGACGCACCGGTCGAAGTACCGCCGCCGTCGCCACCACCGCATACAGAGCAGCGTTCCTCGTCGCTGTGTATCCGGTACTGCTCGCTGATGGTCTGTGTACATATATGGCGAGAGAAAGAGAGGAGGTGAAGGGAGAGGGTAGAGAGAAAATCGGACAGAGCAGCACAGCGTGCCGAGTTCGAGTAATACGCCGACACCCCCACGCGGGGCATCCCTATATCGGCGCGAGAGTCCTTCGACGTCCCGTTCCCGCCGAGCCACCTCCGAGCGCCTCCGGTGCATTCCGAGGGGATATCCTGAACGGTGATATCGTGAACGCGTCGTGTGTCCTCGGCTTATCCTCCAGAGTAGCGGCGGCAGCGGTCCTTTTTCTCTCGGCTTCTACGTCCGTCTTTGTTCCTTCTCCCGGATTCCCTCTCTCGCGCGCGCGATACACACGCCGTGCGTGCACGAGAGAGAGAGAGAGAGAGACGGATACATACCGAATCATCGACACGTGCATACACACATAAAGACCTCCCCTTTCGCCCTTCTACGACCCTAGCGCCTTCCTCGTCGCTCCAACATCCAACGGTCGTCGCTCTCCCCCGCCTCCGCCGTGCGACCCTGTCTCTCCGCGTGGCCGTGCACGCACGAGAAAGAGAAAGAGAGAGAGAAGGATCGTCTCTCCTCGTTGCACCCTCCAACGCAAGCTGCAGCCACGGCCACGTTGCATTCCGCGGGGAACCACCGCTCCGGTATCGTTTGTACCGCGCGCTCCGTGTGTGTCACCGGCTGTCTTGCTTCTTTCTCGTTCGCTCTCTCTCTCTCTCTCTCTCTCTCTCTCTTATTCTCCGTCTTTTTCTCGCTCTTCGGCAGTCCCCTTCGTTCCCCTTCACCCAGTTTTATCTTTTGTCCCTCTCTTCCTTCTTCCCTCGCCGTCCTTCCCCCAACCCCCGTCTCGCGTTTATCCCCTCTGCGCTGGCGACGGCGGCGGCGGCTTTTTTCGCCTCTTTGTCCTTGCATCCTCCCGCGCCGGGAATCGGCGGCGACGGCCAGCTTCGCGGGCTCTCCGACTCCTCTCTCTCTCTCTTTCGCCCTGTGAACCCGCGAGATTCCTTCGAGAGGCGCGTCGTAAAAAGCGAAAGCGCGTAAGCGCGCGCACGTGAGAGAGAGAGAGAGAGAGACCTTACGTGCTGCACGCGCAGACGTGCGTGTCGGCGTGGCGCTTATTGATACATCGCGTACGTCCCCGTCGGAGTGCTCCTCGAGTACGTGTCGCCACCCCCTCGACGTCGGCGGACACCCTGAAGGCGCGAAGGGGTCTCTCGGCGAGAATGAGGACGGGACTGCTCCTCCGCGGGCGATCAGTGCTGTGACTCGCGCGAGCGATCTCCTTTCGTCCTGCGTGATCGAGGATATCGTCCTTCGATAAACCCAACGGGCCCTTCGGTGGTTACGTACGCGTCGTGCAGTGCGCGGTAAGCGAGAGAGAAGAGTGTGTTGCGCCCGTGTCTTTTGTGGGAACGATCGACTCGCGCGACGACTTCTTCCTCTCGCGTCGTCCCTCCTCTCCGAACGTGTTCCCTGTTTTTCGGCCATTATTGTGCTGCGGGAGATCGCTCGAGAAGGAGAGCGTGCCGCGGAGTGTCTCTCCTGCTTTTGTTTACTCACTCACGGAGCCGGCGATTGTTGTTGCGAACGGTACGTGCATCGGTATGTCGTGACGGCGCGCGATAATCGTCGTCGTCGAGAGATTTCAACGATCATCATTCGGCGAGTAATATCTGTTATGGGTCTCGACGAAGCGAATCGTCGCGAGTTTTTCAGAGTGTCGGGGGATTTCTTTTTACGTCTCTTTTCTTTTTTTTTCTTCTTAAATCTGATGTGTCAAAAATTGTCAAATCTTCTCGGTCGTTTGTCACGCATCTCTGTACTCTTTGTTCATTGAGCAAGCAAGTATTTGTTTGGTGAAATATTTCTTTATTATCAGAAACGCACACACAGAGTTGTTGTTTTATTTGCTTCAACGGTTCTTCGTCTGATGTTCATAATATGCCGATTGGCTCAATCGAATTCTCAGCTTGCTGATTTCGGGGTTTTCACTCGAAGTACGGAAATTATTCTCTTTTTATTTTACGGACGATCGTACGGGAAGGAATATTCGTCTTATGACACAGCGGGTAGTACGATTGTGCGCGAGAGAGGAAAATTCGTCAACGCGGTGGAAAAACGGTGATCTCGTTCAGGGTGTGCAACGAAATCACTTCCCTAACAGATATAACGAAGTGTCCTCATTGTTCTTTCCTCTCTGAGAGACCTTGATGAAGCAATAGTGTACGCTGGCGTCAGAAGAGGGGGGAAGGGGGGGGCAGAGGGTGCAAGCGGCCGCACTTGCGCTTTTGTGGATCGTTACGAGAGGAGGAGAATGTCTCAATTAAAATGTATCGCTTTATTAACAGAGTTATTCGCAGAGGGATCGTTTAACGATATCTCGTGCGTGTCTCGCGCGATCTGAGACGTGAGATGATAACGATGATAGCGAGAGGTTGGTGTCCGATGACCTATCGGAAAAAATAAGATCGGAGTCGGCTGCAGTGTGGATGCGGGTTTTCGAATCTTCGTAAAGCCATCTTTGATACGCCGTGTTCGCGTCGGACCCGCAGGGTGTAATTACGGCGCGTCAAGCGCGCTTGGCGAACAAACAATTCACACTCGCGACTATATTTTTCGATAACTCGACACTTTGGATGTAACCGACGAGCGACGTCGCAATATAAACGTGCTTCATCGACTTGCGTAAGAAACGCATTCCGACGTACTTAACTGAATTACGCGTCAAATTGACTCGGCGATCTCGATCGGCACCGAGCATCATTTACATAACATCTGCGTTGTAATGTCGCGCTTAACAATATAAATGTGATGTAACATATGGTGTTACGTTCCATTTGCATTGTTGAGCGCGAAATTATAACATGATAGACGTGATATAACTGATGCTCGATGCCGACCGGGAAGTATGTTTGAAAAGGTCACGAGAATATTTGCCAGATTTTATATAAGATAAGATATAATTGGTATTCACGCTTCCGCGAAGTTTACTGCCGGCGTGTTGAAGAGATCATTGTGACACAATAAGTGATTTCCGAATTCAGGGCGCAGACAAAGACAAGATGTCAAACAACGGGCAGCAGCAGCGCTCGTCCTACGTCGAAGCGCATGCTGTGGCGCACGCGGCATTGCAGCAACACATGGCCCAACAGGCCGCACAAGCGAGGCTAACCGGACCCGGGCCACCCGCCGCCCCGCAACCTTCAAACCCCACGTTCACTCTGCCCGACGACGGACTCGGCTACGACGACGGAGTGCGGGTACTGCGTTCCATCGGGACGTGGTGTGTAAAATATCCAGAATGTTTGACGACCGGTATTCCCCGACGAAAAATCCGAAATGTCCAAGTCAAGTAATGCGGAAATCAATATTCGGCAAGATTTCGACACGATATCCGGAAGATATCCTCAATAATCGATCGACATTCATATGATGTCTCCTATATATCGCATAAATATCGATTATACATCGATATGATATATTAATCAAATGTAGCGCTGACCTTCCTTTGCATGTATCAATGAAAAATCTAGTAGTTGTCAAATCGAACGGTCCGGAAAATCGAGTCGAATTTCATCTAGCCTGCAGCTACCAGCTTTTGATTCAGGCCGACTAGATACATTTCTATTCGGGTTTCTCGAAGCGTAATGTTCCGTTGTTGAAGAGACGGCTCTTTCGAGATATTTCGCACGAATGAAAAACATTGAGCAAAGCACAAATTGCTTATTCAAAGATCCCTTCCTGTAACATCTTCAAAACGAACATCTCCTCCGTTTGTTCCGATCGATCGTTTATCGTCGTTCGAGAGAGCCCCACGTATTATACGTATGCTCTAATTCCCCAGCGGTGAGGATTGTCACAGCTCGTTAAGCCTTTTGCCGTCCTGCCTCAGGTCGCCGGATTATCCTGCCGCGATGCGCCCCGGCGTGATGCCCGCATTCCCCGGCGCAACGGACCCGCAGTTCGGCAATAGAGCTCCCGTGGTGAATCAGCCCTTACGCACAACGAACAACGTACAGGTTCGCCCGGGTTCCGTCTCGAAGGCGACCAACACGGGCGAACCTACTACGAAAGCGTTCGCTTGCACCGTGTGCGGAAAAGGACTCGCGCGTAAGGACAAACTCGTCATACACATGCGCATACACACCGGGGAGAAGCCGTATACCTGCGAAGTGTGCGGTGAGTACGAGGAGGTATTCATGACCGAACGATCACCGCTCTAACGATTTCACGTGACGACGATCTCGACGGCGATCGCGTTTGGTATCCGGAGTGTAATGTGCGCCTAAACGAAACAATGCGCCGGGAATGATCGGCGAATGACGAGCAACGAGCGCGACGTGTGTTGCAGGAAAAGCGTTCTCGCGTCGAGATAAATTGGTCATTCACATGAACAAGCTTAGACACAGACCCGGCGTCGCTGCTCTATCGACGCCTACCGCTCCGAGCTCCAATCAACAGCATCAGCAGCAGCAACAACAGCCGCCACCTCGCCAAGATGCCATTCACAAACCGAAGGAGGAGCCGGTGAGCTTCGCCTGCGACTTGTGCGGCCGATCGTTCGCCTCCAGAGAGGAGTGGATGCAGCACGCTCGGTTGGTGTCTCTTCATTCTCAACGAACGAAGATGTCGATGCGTTCAGCTGAGATAGGGGCTCAGTGAGCGCTTATTGTCTGGGACCGGAGTATTCCTCTTTCCTTTTTATAGATCCAAGAGAATACACCAGTTAGGATCAATAATCATTAAGCGCTCACCGAGCTACTTTTTCCGCTGAACGCAGGCGGTTACACAATCTTCTAGTTCGAGTAATTAAATAGGTGCCGGATTAAAATTCCGTTGACGAGGAAACACGATGAATCTCTGTTATTGTCGAAACGTTGTAATTTTCACGATGACAGTCGCTCGAGATAAGCGCAGGGCGAGCTAGTATCGCGGTACACAGCTATAAGTCATCGTCACGATGACGAAGAAAATTATCGACATTATTTTCTTGAATATCGTCCTTTCGATATTACAGATCTCATCTGGATACATCTGCGCCGCCGCAGCACGCCGCTCATTATTTCACCGGCTCCGCGCCGCCGCCGCAGCCCTACACCTCCGAGAGGCATTTCTGTCTAGTATGCCGCACCGACTTCACGGATAAGACCGAATTCATGTTCCACGTGCGCAACCACTTCGGGGCGTCGCAGGCGGCAGCGCAGCAGCAAGGCGGCGCGAACGGTAAACAGGGCAACGATCCAGCGGCAGCCGATCTCATCGCCCGCGGACTCGTTGATCCCACCGGCTTATGCAGCTAGAATTACTCCTCCTGCCATTACGTACCGTCGATCCGTGTCTTACCATAGTACAAGTTTTCTCTCTGCTCCATCTCGACCAGATCTTTCGCATTAGAATGTCATGGATATTGTGATTGTAATGATATATGTATAACTGATTTGTCGATAGTAGAGATACGCAGTAGTATGAATTCAGTTGCGCGAATACAAGTTTGGATTGGTTGCTACTCGTTTGTCTGATTGATTTTCTATGTCACAACGTGCACGGTGTGACTACGCGACTCTGAATCTCTCACGAGGTCCCCCCCCCCCATTGTTCTCGTAAGATCTTTACTGAGATTCTCTTATAATTGTATCGTGATAGAATTTTTTTTTTTTTTTATAATTCGTAGTATAACTATTGCACCAAACAACGTCGACTGGCTTTATCGTGCGGATTGAGTGCTTTCCATTTATCGACGCAAGTTCACTTCTAGTATATTATTTTTGCTTTTTATTTAATTTTTGTCACTGTGTGTATCGGCTTGACTTAACTTCGATTAACTCTGTTTTGAATGTGTGCTGAGCGAATCTGAAAGGGAGAAGGGAGAAATCGGAGTTTTGAACTATCAAAAAGGTGGGCAATTTTCTATATTTCTATGTAAAATTCTTTTTTCCAGTCTATGAAAATGAAGATTTACGTGCTTCTCCTTGTCGCTTACTCGAAGTTATGCGCATCATCTTTCGTGTATCTTAAGTGCTTTTTATTTATTGTACTGGAGTTATCGATTCGAGCTAACATAAATCGGCACAAGATCGCCGAAAGACAAGTAAATGGGAAACACTCGTCAGCGTTTTAACGTTAAAAAAATATAAAGTGAAAGATAAATACAGCACTCGTTGATCATAACGGCGATCCGCTTAATCTTTTTGTGATATTTGACTCAAGATATTATTAATCTGTGGACGCGCGAGTGTAATAGTTCTCTTTTGAAATCGAGCTTCGAGATGTATTAAGAAAAATCTTATCCTTCCAATTTTAACTAAACATATGTTGCAACGTTGGGTATTTAAGTATGAATTTAATTATAAACTTTTAACAAAACGATTTTATACATTTAATTTTATGAATCTTCAGAGAAATTGTGACAATCTCGCTTCATATAACTTATTAACGTATACGTATAATTAATTATTACAGAAATGGCAGTTTACTTACATCATAACATGTATGTGACATATCATGGACAACGGTTTTACGAATCTATTAATTTTGAAAATACTACTGTGTACCTCTTAATACAATGTAAGACCTATGTTATCAAGAAAAAACGAGATTTAGGTGCCGACGCGATATTGATTTATGGTAACAGAGCGCACTATTGCGTCAGTACCTAAAAGCGACTTACTTAATAGTAAACGTTCCTACATAGCTAGCTTCCCGTCATTTGTAGATACCAGTAGTATCTGATGTAAAAGGTTTGTTCCCAATGCCATTATATTTTTTTATATGCATATGTCTGTATGTGTTTGGCCGACGCACTGCAACGTTATTATTATTTAGAGAATTTATTATTTCAGCGCTATTGTTCTTCCAGACATGTATTGAAATTGTACGGGAATTGTAACGAATTGTATATTGTCAAGGTTGAGTAAATTAAGACCCGCTAATGCGCCAATGTGAGTCGAACGCAGGATAATAATACGTGTGACAGGATGAGAAGAAATATTTCGATGCTCGGTTTGCATATCGAAAGCATTTTCAATCTGCAAACAATATATACTTATGCACTTGTATTAAGCGTTTGTAATTTTGCGCCCGGCTCAGATTGAAGTAATTTACGTATTTTCACAGTTTACTCAAGTTTGATCTTGCAATGAGCGATTGTTTTACCTTTAGGATTATTATCGGTCAATTCTTACATCTGTATCATTAATATTTCTGTATTATTATTCAGCAAATCGATCGTATTTTATATTAAGTTTGTTTAAATTCATTCTACGTCAGCGTTATTCGTTGGCTGTTTATCCGCATGTGTTAAGACGCGCTAACGTCTCGTACGGTGGTTTTCCCCGAAACTTTGTACGATCTTCCAAAGACAGTGTGTTTCGAGTGCATTGTCCGTTCGCACACCAAACGTAGGTTGCCGCGGCGATACAGCATGATCGTTGGCGTCGTGCGACTCAACTTCGGGAACGAAGCTTACGTTGAGAGGCAACTTGAAGCGGCAAATGTATGCTTTAATTACGAGCGCGCACTTCTTCAAGCCAGCAGACGTCAGTCAACGTTCGCAACGTCGTCTTTTATTCGATATCCGAAACGAACAGCTCGACGCTCAGAGAACTGTCGCGTATCATCGATCGGTTTTTAGCGCGGTTTTAAGATTGTTTTTCGCTGTTTCTCTCCCTCTCGATGTGCTTGTCTCTTATTGTTACGATTATCCTTGTTACCTGAAGCGTAATGTACTGCACGTACTTAGTCGGGGATTAAGGAATCCACATTTTTATTTAGTTATTACACGTACGAGAGAGAAACACACGTTTATCGCGAGCGCGCGATTGTAAACTTCGGTCACTTACTCACGTGAGATTACACGCGCGTAAACGTTAGCAGCGTTGCGAGGTGGTGAAGCACGAAGTAGGCCTCCACTTCTCGAACTCGACTCCCATATATTTTATCTCGAATTTCGGATGAGTCGCGATACGAGCTCGGAGACGCGAGTCTCTGTTTCATCGTTCAAGGAGCGCGAAACGAATACGTAGATATATACAAATATATCCACTTGATCGCAACGGAAACTTTTAGCGACAATAATCGTTCGGGTTTCCTTCCGGAAGCCGGATACGTGCGTGTCAACGTGTATCGACATAGATTCGGGCGTCTTTGAAAATGTGTGCGTTTGCATTGTGAACGAATTGTATCTTCCAGAAGAGAGGAGAAAAAAGTCCGATGGGATCCGCTTTGTTACAACGCGCTTGAAACCTTCTTCTCGTCTACCTAGAGAGTAGTGTCCTGTAAGATTAATCGATAGAGAGCGCGCGCTAAGAACGCGAGAGACTGCCGTGCCTCCTGTCCCACGTACAAATCCGCTTCCGGGTTGTTTTCCATTTTCGACGATCGCTTTTAGAACTTTTACCGTGCCTCTGCGTGATGCGAATCAAAAGAAGAAAAAAAAAAGAGAAAAAGAAGAAGGGACAGTCGGACAGCCTAATGCTGAGCGTATATTTTGTGTAACATTTACAACTACGTCATAGAAGTAATCACCGCGACAATAGCGACCGTCTTAGAGACTACCTACTGCCGTGCGCAAAACTAACTACGGGAACGTTTCGAGTTTTTTACCTAAACTTACATCTCCCCCTCTCTCTCCCTCTCTCTATAGTGTAGTGAAATTAATAAGATAGTCTCGTGCGCTTGGCGCCAGGCCGATTTTACTTTGCGACGTTTATCTATATTATGTGCGTGTCAAGTGGTGGTTGTTGCCTGCATACTGATACGAAGAGTGCAATCAAATTTAAATCAATGCCTTTCGCCTTTGGAGTTAACCGATATTTGACCGATGCTCGCAATTTAGGAGGGAAGACGAATAGTCGAAGTACTTACTCGCCGATCGATTATGATCGAGTCTTTCATTGGTGGCGTTTCATGGAGAACAATGAGAGCTCCCCCCCTTCCCCTCTTGTCCTCTCTTCCTCTCTTTCTCTCTCCCGACTTGGATTTGTTTTCTCTCGAGGAAGTTTTTGTACAGAAAGGAACGAAGAAAAAAAAAAGAAAAGAAAAACGACGACGCGTCCGAGTAAAACGTAATAAAAAGAAAAACGCTGATATTTTCGGTGGCGGTGATGTGACGTGCTCTCGCGAGCTGAAGATTCGGAAGAATAGACGTATAGTGCCTTTTCTCTGGGACTTATCCACACCATCGTCATTTGAATTCACGTGTTAGGGAGGCACACCGGCATAAATAAATGAAGTATTGGAATAAGATAGACGATATAGACGTAAGAGACGGCGTTTTCATTCGATTCTTTTCGTCCTTCCGTTATACGAGGAGTGAATGTTCGATGCCACTGCCTCTATAGCAGCTGTTTTAGACTACTTTTATACTGTTGATGTCACGCGCAGCTAATCAGAGTCAGTATATTACTGCCATAATTATGGAACAGAATGTATACTCAATATACCTTTATAAATAAAACACGACCAAAATGAAACTGTCGCGTGTCGCATTTATCCCCGACGGGAATACTATGTTTATAGATCTTCAAAACTGTTTTTTGTTCTCATAGAAAATATCGTATCTTAATGATCTAATTTTTGCAATTAGAAATATTATATGCATAAGTCATATTAACCTTTTAGGTACGACACGCCACTATAGTGGCTTTCGCGGATATCATCTTTCAGGACGACACGCCACTATAGTGGCTCACTCAAAAATTTTTTTTTTAAACTTGCTCTGCCATCCAGGGAAATAGCCTCGCGCAGAATTCAGCCGTACCTAAAAGGTTAATATCTACCTGCTGGAATTAAAAATAAATATTCATAAATTTATTTAAGATGGTCGGAAAAAGGAAATCAGAGAATCTTTTTCTATACCTAAGGCTGCCATAGAGTTTTTGTTCAGTCACAGGCGTCTTGTCGGATCGCGCCGCATCCGTATTAAGGGTAACAATGTAATAGCTAGCCAACCGGCTCGACTTCAGCAGAAAGTAATCGTAAATGATTCTGCCGCGAGAACGGGGCTGCGCAATTTGTCATAGTTTATGGATCGTCTCGACTATTCGTGGCCCTCGACGCGACCGAACCGAATATCTCGCCGGCGAGATCTCTCGTTCGACAGAGATGAAGCAGCACTCGGTCTCTCCGACGTTACTCGAGTTTTCATTCGGGGAGCACAACAAAATTGACCCCATAAATAGTTTCTCCGAGTCAGTGACATAATTCAAAGAGCGTGACGATTCCAATCGTTCGCTCCACTAAAGCTGAAAGCTTTCTCTCTCTTTCTCTCTCTCTCTCTCTCTTCTTCGCCAAGTCCTGCGATTGTCGTCGTTCATAATTCTACCGCGACGAAACGCGCTCGCCGTTATAATTCGGAAATGATTTCCAGCAACGATTGAACGCCTTTTTTCGTTCCGCGATATTTTCGTGCTCGTTGCCTCTTATTTTCATCGGCGAGCATAAACAACGTTCGTATAAGAAATCTCGATCGGGTGAATAATAGCTCGATGCTTCGTCCAACGTGGGGAACAGCGCGATGATGTTTCGCACAACATGTATATCGGGTTGTCAAATCTAATAGTCTAAATTACCGAGCATTTCCTCTTTGGTAATAAAATCTAACGGGACAAAATCGTTCACACGGAAGACAGTAAAGTATTTTAGAAGAACGTTACGTGTAAAGCATTTAAAAATTAATTATATCGGCCAATTATACAGTTGCTTTGACACAAATATTTCCTTAGTATAATATTTTATATGTACGCAATTGTGTCATGCATTTCGCCGCTTAATTTTTGAATACCTACATAGGAAAAATAAGCGGTAGATTCAAGTAAACAATTACTCTGATACTTCTTAACAAATTTTTACTTTTTTGGATTAAGTAAGTTTTACTTAAATAATTTATTTGGAAAATATTTTTCTCGGATCAGGTAAATATCACTCGCTATTAATTGCTAAGGAGTATTGGAGCAATTATTTACTTGAACCAAACATTTTTCTCCGCATAATGCGTAATATCTTTCTAAATTTGCATATTAAACAATCTCTGTAAATATCTCCTTGCGCATTTATTAATAAGGTTGTGTTAATATGGCGAGTTATTGGCTCTTGATAGTCGCTTTAAACCAGAATGCGAAAACAACTGAAGCGAAACAACTTCCTATTGTCTTAAATTAAGCCAACTTCATTCTGTGGAGAAAACTGCTCGCTCTATGTGGTTGATTTCGCGACAGGTGTGTTCGTACACGTAACGATACCTCTTTCTTCTAAAGACTACGCGTCTGTTATCTTGCCGCCTGTGAAATACGGTCGTTTGATAGCGTTTGCTTCTCGCCTTGATTCCGGCAATTAGGCGAGAAGAGCAAATCGCGAGGAAAAGGCTGTCGTCTTTCGACACCGGGCAACGAAGAGAGAGAGAGAGAGAGAGAGAGAGAGGATGAGAGGCACGTGCACGGTCGTGGACCATCCGGCGGTCGTGCCGTAAATCACCACGAGCGCCACGGGTTTGTTACGTTTTTCCTGGACGAGATTTATTTTCGTATCGCCGATAACCGTGCCGATGATACTGGTCTGCGTTCCGCCTTCCCCAAGTCTCCGCTGTGTATGTTTATACAGTGTTCACATGCTATCCGTGTATCTTAATCTCTCTCGACCGGGCCGATTAATCGCCGTCAGCGGGTGTTTCGAAGATTTGTTGCTCGATCGCGACCAACATTCCTTCAGTCTTAACGCGATCCTCTCTAACAGTACTCCGGACTGCTTCTTTCGCGAATGTCTACCTACGCGGACGCACCAAATGGTACCAAGTGCTTTTTCTAATTGCTAAGGTGACGCGATTGATTTGTCGTCTTCGTGAAATCTGCTTTCCTGCGTCTTTCAACATTAACCTTAGTTTAGCGCTCGTGGGTCAGATTGACCCGAGCGAAAATCTCGAGTTCCTATAGCTGTCAATTTTGAATGATTGCACGTACGCTGAGAGAAATTATAGTTATTTTCGGCGTCAACTATAGACTTTTTCTGGTTTTAACCGAATTTTAACCAAAGTAGTAGTAATAAATGTACATGTAAGTGAATGGTTCTCCTGACTATAATTCTTTTATATTATATATAGTTATGATATTATAGTTACAAATATACCAAATATTTTTCTCTCAGTGTATACACATAGAATTTTTTTCTTAAAACGTGCTAAATTTTTCACTGCTTTCTATGTGGAATCAACACATTACATCTTCCCATGTGCCGTATCTATTTTAATAATAATAATTGCGCAAAAAATTTCTCAAATTTACTCTTTGTACACTCAAAACTGAAATATCTGTCGGCGTCATATATGTTACACAATTTTATAAAGTGAAACTTTTTACTACTACGCAATTTTTAACTTTTCACATGTACAACATTGTTGCATCAACATATTGAACATCGAGTATGCCGGGTTGCCGGTAACAAGGGACGCATGAGAGAGAGAGAGAGCGCTCGCGATCGAGTTAGCGCGTTCTTACTCTCTCACACGTGTCCTTACCAGCGGCAATCCGGCATACTGTTCAATATATTGATGCAACACACTGTACATACATGTACATAAGGGATAGAAACTATCATAATTAGAGCTATAATGATCCTATCATTATAGGCTGAGAGAAAAATACAATTATTTTCGAGGACAACAATACCCTTTTCCCCGTTTTGGCTACAAAAATGGTCAAGAAAACGATTTTTCTGGTAAGTGTTATTACAGTATCAGTGATAATAACCCTACGTGCGTGTTGTCACTATTATTTTTCTGGCTAAAATAAAAAAAGATATTGTTGTCCTCGAAAATAACTATATTTTTTCTCAGTGTAACTAGAATTATCATTAATATATTCTGCGATTTTCAGCCTTATATACCTCATACGTTATTATATATTCAACCTTATTTCCCGTATATTCAACCTTGTACGCCATTTATAAAGCTGAAAATCACATAACTCTCCGTCTAGGAAATGACACACCATGAGACCAACCGCATGTCAGATAACGTACATTTATAGACATTTAAGTAAAGTCATATCATCACGTAACTGGGATTCACATACTCAGTGTGCCAAATTGAGCAGAAAAAATAAATGTGTTAATAAAGCATCAACTATACTATACAGGATGTTCGAGAACTTTTCAGTATTCGTGGTGTACAAGTAAAACGGGTTAAATTGAACATGAAAGTCATGTATCATTTTGCAAAAGTTAAGGAGAAATTAATTATTCGGTATATACATAAAATAGGAATTTAATCAAGTAGAGAACAAATATATCGAAGAGTTATCATCGATCGAGTGAGTGACGAATAACGAGGCTCGATATATTGGTGACATAGTTCGAGCGATTTAAATTGACTCGAGCTATAATTGTCGCTAGTGAGATCCGATAAGGGATTAACTCGCACCGTCATTTCGTATTTAATTCTAAACCGTAATCATCACAGTTTGATTGGAATCCCACGAAAATGCACGAGGGTGGGTTAATAATTAATCGCATTTTATTTATAAAATTTATTATGAAAACAGTAGAAAATTTATAAACATTCTATTCTTCAATATAGAATCTTCTTGATTTTCAATGCATTTCTTAGTCCAACAAATTTCAACAAGTGTTACAAGTTTCTTCATTCTGTTGGAAAAAAATACACCGCCAATTCACACAATATTATAACATAATTGCGGATAACTGTAATAATTATAATATTCAAATATTCCAAATATCCAAATATAAATCGCGTTACGGGAACAGGTTAACCGAGAATATCGTAAAATGTTAAATCTGGGAATAAAATCATCGCTTTAGTGTGGGAAGACTGATTCCCCGCGTACGATCACCGAAGAAAAAATGGGGGCGTACATTTAACACGACTAAGCAAGTATCTACGCGATAACATTAATATTAATTAACTATGTTAATATTCAAATGGCGCTAGGCTATTTGTACTTTGACTCTTATTGCCCCGAGATGAGTTCTTCATTGGTTCGAATCCAACCAGAACCTGTATTACTTAATAATTTTCGGATAATTTTTGTATCTCGCCCTCGTACATTTACAGACGTGTCTTTTTAGACCTTTTAAAATCTTAGGTAACTTCGGATGTCGCACGATATGATGCAAAAATATCTGAGTGTCTGGTTGGTCCCCGATTTCTCTCCATGAATTTTCAACACGCCGACGACTGCACTTTCGGCCTGTTTTAATGATAATCATCGCGATAATAATCGTCGCACATCGGCGGACCATGGCGGGCACGGCGTATCCGGCCTAAATTTATATCGGGGAATGTCGCGAGGTTGAACAGATGCATCTCGTTTGTCGAACAGCGCAAAATGTAGCAGCGAGCAAGCGCGGAACGGGCAAACCGGCGGCGGCTGCGTGCCCGTTTAAAAAAGATCACCCTCGCATCTGTTGCCGGGCCGAGTTGTCGCGACGACGATGCGCGAGACAGAGAAAGGGCCACTGCAACGAAGCCGTTTCTACGAAGAAACGCAATTTTTTTTTATGCTCTTTCCATCAGCGTCCCCCTCGGGCCGAGAAGACGCGCGTGGGCCGATGATTATGAGCGCTGCGTGTCCCGGCTGGCTCCGGTTTGCGCGAATTGTAAATTCACACATCGCGCGGCAACACCAGCGGTTAACGCGTATTTTTCGCGATTTTGCGGTAACACGCGAGATACAACGCGCGCACAGCCGTATTTCGCATCGTGACATTGCGCGCGAATATTTATCTGGATTCTCCAGTTTATTTGTTTGTTCTGGTATTGTTCGAGTATTTGGTATTAAAGGAATGTTGTGCTTGAGAAATTTGCCGGCAGAATATTAGCTTCTCTCTGTAAAATTTACGTCGTACTCACCGCACAGAATTATAAATATGTTTATACTCTTGAAAGTAAGCGCGAAGATCAATTGAAACGTTGCTCAATACGTGACAAAGACGATTGATAATTTCAAAATTGACATCTGTAGCTGTCAATTGACGTAAATATCGATAAAGAAATCCTCCAGCTTCTATATATGTTAATGTTTCATTCTCAGAAAATATCAGAGAAGCATTTTTATATCTCGTTAGATTTAGGAGCCCGACAAAAATACGAAAAGTTTCCAGAACAATTCTTATATACCTCTCGGTTAGATTTCCCGTTTAATATGGGTAAAACAAAGCAGCGTACATTCGTTGCACGTACATTTACGTAAGATCTATGCGTACACATATAAAAAGAGTACCTTGACCATGTCGGTGTTTATATAACAACATTTTGAGAATTATCTCGACGTTATCGATGTTCGTCAGGTTCGCCATCGACTTTCCTTCTATTGCTTAAGTAATCAAGCCACGAGGTGAATTGAAGTTCACTCGGAATAGAACGAGGATGAAAACACTGTTAGCTATTTGTATCTTCCGAGATTCTACCGTCTAGTACTGATTGTTCCAGATTGTTCCACGTTAAGCGCTTCATCGCATCTATTTTTCATTATTATGCCTGACAAGTGGATAAATATCTTACATTCATTATTACATAATTCCCGGCTGTCTGGGTCAATTAAATAGTATTCAACTGCTAATGGACATCCTATATTCTCGGTATCTACGGTATTTCTTCCGTATGCGATATTAGCCGCTACTTTTGTAAAATAGGATACGAGTACTTTCTCGCGATAACGATGACTGGCATTCGTTGGTACCGTCCGATCCATTCGGCTGCAAAGTGCAACTAACTGTATTTAATAACTTGCGTATATATACTGCGAGTGAGAAGTCGATTGATCGAGGTAACGGTTGCGTCTGTCAAAAATCGCATTCACTCACCCCTCCCCCCTCCCCGTGTCGCGAAGAAAGTGCGGTCTTTACCGACTTTATACCGAAATTAATGAAGATCCTCGAAATTCAACCGGGATCGATTGCACGAGAATTTCGACCGAGTGCTTCGATCCTTGCTGGGCTCTTTCGATCCTGAAAAGTGCTCGGCGACAGCCCCTCGATACTTTTATCGAGGTATCGAGATCGTTCATCGGTTACGAGGAGCGCGGGCGTGAAAACGCGCAACGGTGATCTTCGCTCGCCGGCCGACCGCCTCCTCCTAAACGACGGTCTCTCCCCGCCGCTCGGCGTCGACGGCGGCGTCGACGGCGGCGGCAGGGAGCAACTTTGACCACGGTGGGAACAAGGAGAGGATCCCGGGGGACGTGGGTCCGAGGGAGACGCGCGAGTCCACCGCGTGCTCTCGGTGGGGATCGGAAGAGAGAGAGAGAGAGAGAGGAGGAGAAGGGCGATCAGCGGGACGACAGGATAACAGAGTGAGACGGCGGATCAAAGGAACGGGGGGAGGGGGGAACGTGCCGATCCGGCGGAGTAGTGGGAGGCCGCGAGATCGCGTCGGCGAAATGGCAAGGAGAGGGAGAGAGAAACAGAGAGAGGGAGGAGGACGAAGCAGGTGGAGGGGAAAGACGAACTCTCCCGTGAGAGAGAATCCAACGTGGAGAAAGAGGAAGTCGGGCCGTGGACGCGGGACGAGGAGAGCGAGCGAGGAGAGAAAAAGAGAGATAGGGCGACGATAGAGAGAGAGAGAGAGAGAGTGAGAGAGAGAAAGAGAGTTGGACACGGCGGGGAGAGGGAAAACCACGGGGGCTTTTGAAAAAGTTTTATCTTGTCGGCGCGCTTCGGCCTCTCAGACGCTACCGAACGCCGGTACGGTGTTGTTGGCCACGGTGTGCCGCGCGGGCCTCCTCGCCGACGAGTTTCGAGTAAAGAGAGAGAAAGAGAGAGAGAGAGAGAGAGAGAGAAAGAGCGGAAAGAGATTGGAAGAAAGAGAGAGTTCCGGTCGTGTGCCGCGGTTTCCGGCCCCGGTCGGTCCTCCCGTCGCCAGCTTCCGTCCGCCCGCGCGCGCTCGAACGTCCGTGCGAGAGAGGAGCCGTCGAGGAGGAGACGCTCCTGACGACGAGCGTTATCCGCAGGAGAGGGCAGCCGCACGTCCTTGGAGGGAACCGTTCTTCCTTCGCCCGTCTCGCCATGCGCCGTCGCTGAGGTGGTGTCCCGTGGTGCCGGTCGAGAGAAAGAGCGAGCGAGCGAGAGCGAGAACGAGGAGGGCTACATAAATAGAAAGAAGGAACCGAGAAAAAAAGAGGATCGGGCAGGAAGAGGGCGAGAAGAGGTCGACAAGTAACTTCTTGCCGGGGGACCAACGGCAAGATGAAGAATCGTGTGTTGCTAAAGAGTGCGTTGCTCCTGCTGATCGCGGCGAACAGCCTGGTGACTGCGTCCGAGGTGAGTTTTTCGAGCAAAGCGATCCTCTCTTTCCACGGGACCATCTGGTCCCCGGGTTCTCACGCACACCACACTCAAAATTACGATGGCGCGCGCTCGCTCGCGAAATTCCCGCTCCGGGACGATGCGCCGCCCGGTCCCTCTTTCTCTCTCTTTCTCGGCTGCGAGAAAGAGAGAGAGAGAAAGAGAGACCGGCCGGAGGCTCCGTCGGCGGAGGTCGTCTTCTTTCCGAAAAACAGTGCGAGTGAATTGCGACGATAACGGATGAGCGATAAGAGGATCGATGTCCCTTGTCTCGAATAATTCAATGAGGGAAACAGTTTCGGGAGCGCGCGACTTATCGCTGATAAAAATTTAAAATTATCGTTAATAGTATCGCGAAGTAGAAATCGCCGCGTCATCGACAGGTTTGATCTGGATTTTATGTATCGTGCATTGTTGAAAGGAAGAAATTGTAACATCGCACGATCGAGCGAAGCGTCGGATTCGTCAACCGCGGCGGCACCTTCGCGAATTTACCTGAGAAGTTCGCGCGGGCTGCTTTCGGAAGGCTCCTTCGGCGGTGTGAAAATAGTCTACGCGGTTCAATCACCGTGATTATGCCTGTTATGTATCTCGCTTACGTCTGATGATAAGAATCGCCGCATACCTCGCAGCGGAGAGATACTCTTATCACTCCCGTAGATCGCGCGATAGTTTCGTACGTACATTAATACAAAGTTACGTGTGCGATCGCTCGTCTCTTTTCAGACGCGCCAAATGTCCCACCGGTCTGCACATATTACGAGTCTGCCGCGAGTTCCATCGTTTGTGCGCAATTCGCAGCGGAACATCCCCCTCGGCGTCCCGAGAGTGCGCCTCGCGTTTCCGACGATCGACGATTCGAAGTGAAAACCACGCGTGATTTTTTTCCAGCAGCGGAAGAGCGGGGAATTTGGAGTAAAACGCTGTTCCCGACGCATCGTTCGCGTCGTTGCGAAATTATCGCGAAATCATCGACTAATCTACGCGTTTTGTTCACATAGGCACATTGTATGTTTCTTATCGGTCGGTGTGTATCCACTGAAAGAAGGATTTGGTAACAATTACTGAACATTTAATTAAGTAGTTTCAACTAAATGGTTTTGGTTACAGTAGTCGAATCGTTTAATTAAAACTGTTCAAGTAAATGCTTGGTAATTTTTACTAAATCCCACTATTATGCACTGAGAAAAAGAAGTTGAGATTTTGCGAAGTAAATATTTCTCGTGACAATAAGTTAATTTTTATGGAATCAACCTTATATTTCACAAGCAAATTTTTTAATCCCTTTTTCCCGGCGTATTATCAGTATCAACAATTTTGATACTGTACTCGTGTCGTACGATATCCGTGATGTGTTTGAAATGTTTGCACCTGCATACGCTGCCGTGGGCGTTAAAAACGTAATATATATTCGACGAGCTAAGAACGAGATGCAGAAATAATCGTGCCAATTTGAAAACGACGACTACACACACACACACACACACACATCGAGAGACGCGGGAATTACTTTGCTCTTAAACTGTATGAACTGTACGAGGAAAAAAGAAAGGAACAAGCTAGATCTCTAGTGCCCGTCCAGATCGGAGTATCCGTGACGAATTTTTTCGGCGTTTCACGTCTTCCTCCGCCTCATCTTTCGCGCTCGAAGCGGCGCAAGACGCGCTTGAGTCGCGTCGCGCAAAGAAATCTTTCGATTTAACGACGATCAACAGGTACAGAGGTGAAGAAGAGCGCGGGGAACGTCGGAAGTATGCCGGTCGTCCTCCGCGGATCGGGGTGGCCGGCTCGAAAATACGAATCGAATTGTTATGCGCGACATCGCCGAACTTCCGTCCGACACTCTCCGGGAGTAGCAGACTCCGGGATAATTCGCACGCGCGAATTCGATTATATTCCGATCACACCTCGAACTCCGCAGAAACGGATACGCGCCGAACTCGTGCCGGCGAAGCCGATCGCGTTTGGGAACCCGCCGATCCAGCGAAATATCATTCCGGACCGTCCGGATTTCCGCCGAACGCGACGTTTCGTCGGCGGGCTGACGTGACGATCCCTTCAGGGACAGCTACTTCGTAACTCCTGGCGATTCCTCCTCCCCTCCTTGCCTCGCCTCGTCGATGCCGTATTTACGACGACTTCCTTAATCACGGCTCGAATTTTTGCTGAGAGCAAATCAACCGCGCGCGTAAGCGCTTTGTCGTCGCGAAACACTGTGTAAAGGAGAAACGTCGAAGTTAACGTGTATGGAAAAATGGACATGCAATCTTTTGCTGTATTATTAGACGCACCTTCATTTTTTACATTTCATTGACTACCGAGGACCAGCTTTATAATATACGGCTCATTCACTGATCGAATTATGTTAAGGAACCATTATTTTATAAAAGATATTTTTTATGACGTCATTTCGATGGTTACAATGACTTTGAACAAATATGCGCTAGTTGCATTGTTGATAATAATGAGGAACAAACATGAGTTTTGAGGGTGTGTGTGTCAATTGAAATTGAGTTTTATTTTTGTTTATTTATTTGTGACTTGAAACTTCGAGTTCCTTGCTTGTTAACTGGAAAAATAAGTTTTTGTGTGAAAAATATTAATATCGTTTACCAAAATTATGGGTAAAACAAGTGATTTGACACCTCGGAAGGTTGCAGAGGTTAAAGTTTGACACTGAAAATTGTTCGAATCGAGTAAATACAAAATGAAATAGCTTTTCTCCTCCTTCTAACATGTATTTTATTAAAGGATTGCGTCAAATAATATGGCCAGGGACTGTACACGGATAAAAGATCCAGTTCTTGCAACAGAAGAGAGACCGGGTGAAAATTATTTTGAAATAAAAATTGCTTTTATCTGAAAAAACATAGTGTAGGTTCGATAAATTTTTTCCTTTTGTATCTAGTCCGTTAATAAAAATACTTTTATTTTCAAAGATATTCAAGGCGGTGATGGTTATTGTCTGTTCCTGTGCGCACGGATGTTTACAAAAAATTCGATCGGAAAGTTAATGGACAAATTTTGCCTGACTGTCAAGAAACTGCGTACGGACCTTCCTGGGACGCTTTATGTATTTTTACAAGAGCCTCGTAAATAGTCAAGGCAACTCCGAAACGATTCTATAAATATCTCGGCCTGAAAAGTGCGCGAAAGGAAAGTCCGTCTAACTTGAAGATTTTATAGGCAATCACATGTTTCATACTCGTGAACTCATACCGTGTATAAGTACGCCTCGAGAAAGGCCTTCGTCGTCTTTTTCACGAGGATTCACTTGGATTCATTTCAACCGGTCATTTGGATTCTTCCGAATCGAATTACGCGACACACAACGCAATTACGTAACGCGAGATTGACAGCAGCCGTAAATTAAGAAAGTTTCGCGACTTCAACGTGAATAGTGAAAATATCGTTTCGACATAGGAATATTTACTGGCGCGCAGGAGAGGGAGTGAGAGAGAGAGAGAGAGAGAAAGAGGAGGAGGACTCACTAGAAACGAAGTTATAATCAATTTTACGTACAGTGATCATATTGCACTAACTGAAAATCGAATGAAACGTCACTTGGCGTCGTATAGTATAACACGATCTAAATGGAGCAGTCGCTGCTGCGAAATGCAATTCGAAGCGTCGCGCGCTATCGCGTTGCTGAAATCGATTTTCCGCGCGAGAGCGGAATCTTCGGCGAGGTAAATCGGCTGGACCGCAGCGACGTGCGCGTTTTCGATCACGCGGGCGCGCGCGGATGCGTCGCTCTCTCGTTAAACTTCGCATCGCCGATCGGGAGGGACTTGCATCATACGTACACGTCTATTTTGTCGCGATAACAATGGCCCGTGTTATCTTCCATCGTCAGGTATCGGGTGTCGTGATCGACCCGCGGCCGGTGCAAAGTAGCGCGCGAGAGCTGCGAGACGTCGGGAGGATCCGGTCTCGCGCTTCTTCTGCGCTCGCACGAATGACACGAGGCGACCTGAGACGTTGACATTCCGCTTCGGAACACCGCGCGATGTACGCGTCTTCCGCGACGTGCGGCTATTCAAAGCGGTGTGTTAAACGCCTCTATTCGAGGCGCAACGCCGCAGGCGCGTTCCAGTTGCATTCTCGCTCGATGGTGCAAAGTAATCGCTCCACGGATGGGGATGTTTAAATTTCAGTATCGGCGGATGTATCCGTCGATGTATCACATGTCGTGAAAATCGAGGGGAGAAATAAACGGAGAGGAAGAGAGAGAGGGAGAAGGTAGTTTGGGAAAATGAACTTCAAATTCGCTCGCTGTAACGCGGCTAATGACCCGAGTCGACGTTTTATACGCTGCTTTGATGCTCTTAGGGATATTCTGCGCCGACTTAAATCGCCGACTTAATCTAATAAAGATTGATAAAAATTCTACTTTGACGATATTGACGCTTATTTAACTTCTTTCTGATCGATTTAATTTTAATGTTACTTCGAGCAACCTATTTTGGCGCTAAACCACGCGAAATTGAAAATTTCAGACATCATCGGGATCAAAGTAGGGGTCAAATATATTATTAGAATTGAAATTTAATCGATTTTGCTGTCTTCTACTGTGTTAAAGAATTGTAAGTCTAACACAGAGCCAAAATTTTGATTCAGTCATTCAGACTCTCGACAGATTATTTTCATTCGCGTCAAATTCCTCCTGACATGTTGTATGTGCTCGCGAACAAATATCCGATTCGTAAAGTAGCGATTGATTCGCCCTGTCACTCGGATTACTAGAAATAAGTTGAAAGATCCGCACGATATTTTCATCAGAATCAAGACGAGATTACATCGGATCGCAGACGGACGAATTTAGACGAGCGATATTTATACAGCTATGGATTCACCGCGGACAAGTTGTGCCCCTTCCAATTGCGTAGACAAATCCGGTCGGTGCCGTCGAAATTTAAATTCGTGCATTTTCTGATGATGAAATCGTGCATTTCCTGACGGAGAAATTTTTTAGG